AAAGCAAAATCTAGATCAAACTTATAGAGTATATGGCTGCAGGCTGCTGTGTGTAGCCTGGAGGCATTTTTTAAACATTTGGTAAATCCACTGTTTAATGTTGCTGCTGCAAGTAAGAATCTGTTACCCCTATCCTGAAAAACCTGCTGTGCATCTTCAACGCCTTCAGGCCTCACTGACGCCACCAGCTGCAACTGTCAAAACAGCTGACTGGTGCTCCAGTTATTCCCTTGTGACCCACAATAATTTTTAATTTATCAATGTGACTTCTACAAATTGGCCGGACGTGATCTACATAGTTTTTAAACCTTCCTGTGGATAGACTAGGAGGCAGCACTTACTTTTTAAAATGTCTGCAGAGTTTTTCATTTTCATTTAACTTTAAAAACATGGCTTTTGCATTAGGGCTGGATTCACTGGAAAGAATCCGATGCACGTTAGTGGTGCTTTCTGCAACAATGGTATAAACAGGGAATCCTTCTGGATTAAACAAGTCAATCCAGGTAGTAGATGGCAAAGAAATAATCATTCATACCAATATTTTGGTACTTCTCTTAGGCATGCAGGGAGCACATGCAGTTCACAGAGCTGGTACCATATGGATCTTCTGGATACTCTTTAGGGATAGCCCCATATAAAGTGCATTGCAGTAGTCCAATATGACGGCAACTAGAACAGGCCTGCTGCCTGAGAAACAGGCACAGCTGGTACACAAGAAGAAAGGCCCTCCTAATCACAGCTATTACCTTCTCATTAAGCAGGAGTCATGAAGCTACAAGGACCCCTATTGTGGACTGGATTTGTTTGGGAAAATGCAAACCCTCTATTACCAAAGATGGTATTGTGCTGGAACCAACAGGTTCCCACATCCAAAGCCACTTAGACTTGCTAGGATTCAGCTGAAGCCTGTTGTTCCCCATCCAAATATTCACATTCTGCAGACACCGGGGGGGGGGGGGGAGTTCATCGTTTAATGTGGAGACATATAATTGGGTACATTAGTATAGTGATGCTATCTTACCCCATGGTGAGGACAAAGCAGAGAACCGTGTGGAATCTCAAATAGAACGGGCTGAAGACAGGGTTTTTTTTTAAATTTCTTGACTTTGAGCAAAATCTTTTCAAAGTAATTTGGTAAGTATCTTGTTTTGCTGTGGTATCTGTATACATTTTGAAAAAAAGTCACCATGCTCATTTGTCTTCTGGTAGATCTACAGCTCAGATCTCTGTGTGTTTAAATAATGGCTGTAGAAAGAACATAAACATTTAGATCAGGGGTGTCAAAGTCAAGGCCCATTGGCCGGATCCAGCCCATGGGGTGCTTAGATCTGAGTCCCTCGGGAATAGGGCGGCATACAAGTATAATAAACATCCAGATCTGGCCCGCAGGGCTGCCATGGAAACAGTGAAGGACTGGCCTGCAGTGCTTGTCAGAGAAAATGGAGCTCAGGCAGAGCTCAGGAGCCTGTTTTTGCTGGCAGAGCACTCAGGCCACCATAGGTGCTTCTCAACCCAAGTGATGTCATGCTGGCCATGCCCAGCTTGACCACGCCCACCCAGCCCTCCAAGGTCAAACACAACCCTGATGCGGCCCTCAGTGAAATAGAGTTTGACACCCCTGATTTAGATGATGCAACTTGGAGAATAACATGGAGAATAAAATTAAATGTAAAAAGAAGAATAAAATTGGCAAAATCTCTGAAAATGTGCCTGTTATGCAACTGGCATTGTGAGCATGGATTCACTTAATCCAGTTTGCTAAGACATGTATATATGAAGAATCGAGCAAATGCTTACTTCCTTATGCATGCATGTAACACAGAGAGCCACAAATAATCTACCAAGAGTTATGGCTCTACTATGAGGTCAGGATACGACTTGAGAATATATAAAATAAATTAAGGGAAAAGTAATTTTGAGCATGTGATAACAAAGCAACACATTCAGGTTTCTAATCACTGACTTGAGTGTCTTGGTTGTGGAATGCACAGGCATAAAATACTGTATAAAAAACTGCAGAGGAATCTCTGTAACCTGTTATGCTTTATCAACTTATCGTTTTTTTGTGTAATTGTTTTTGTTTGACCAATGTGCAGCTGATAGAGAAATGATCCGTGTATTTGCAGACACAGCATGTAGCTTCCAGAGTCTTTAGCAAACACATGAGAAGCATTTCTCTAGCAGCACACTGGGACCAGCTTTATCTGCCGAGTTTCTCTTTGCCACTCTGGCATTAAAGATATGAGATCTGTCAAGAAAAAGAAATTATAGACCATCCTGTTTTATAGTCCTGTGTTCTGTTGAATAAAACATTGCATATCTAGTTTGACTTAAATGATTGCTTAAAATGATAATTGGATATCTCCTGCCAATGGAACCCCTTCCAAACCCATAAAATCAGATTTGTGAAGTATATTGGCGTCTATGCAGGAGGAAAGATAGGAGTTATATTGATACTCTCAAATCAACAAAAGGACTAAATAAATTCAAGAAACCAACAAAGCCAGGTGGAACTGGGATTTAAACAATTTGCAAATGATTATACATGTTAGGAATACCACAGGTTCTTTTGTTTTGTGCTAGCTTTACTTTCAAAAAGCCCTGGTCCCCACATATTATTTCAAACATCATGCTTTTAGAGCCATGATGGCGAGCATATGGCATGCGTGACCAAAGTGGCATTTGGAGCCATTTTGCAGCGTTACCCATTCCTCTTCTGGGTTCCACGCTGGGTTTCCAGCATGCATGCGCATGTGATGATCAGCTAACCTTTGTCCATGTGGCAGTGCTGGAAACTGGAAGAGCTGGTCCTTTGGTTCCAGCGTGAGCATGCACTCCAGCCAGCTGATCAGCTCATGGGCCCGCACAGCAGTTACCGGAAGACTTGCTGGCCGGTGCACATGCCTGTGCCGGAAACTGAAGTTCATTTTCCAGCCCATGCCTGTCCCCTGGCCAGCTCCTCTTCCTTGTTGCTACCCATACAAGTGTGCGCGCATGCGCAAAGCACGTGCATGCACCGAATGCTCCCTTTTTGGCACTCAATGCTGAAAAGGTTCGCTATTACTCTTTTAAAGCATGCACCTCTTCAGAAAACAATCAATCATTCCTGAATATATATTAACCAGTGGAGTTTCATATGGCTGCCAAAAATCCTACCAGTTTTCTTTTCTTTTTTGTTATGGTCTGAGAAATGCAGTGATGTCCTGATCAAGGTTTCTGCCCATTCTTGGAAATTCAGCCCTTGGATAAAAAAGGGACTTGCTTCCAAGTCTGACATTCAGGATCAAGAGGGAAGGCCTCAATTAAGGCAATAGGAAAACTCTACATATTGTGGCTGTCTCGTTCCAAAGACCTTTGTTAACTTCTTTTCAACTGAGGTTGTTTCAGATATAGCCCTTAGCAAAAATCAAAATTGGATTATGTGGTTGGAACACAATGTAGCATATAGTTTTTGTTACAGAAGGGGCTGTTAGTGTTTCGTTGTATAGGGTGGAATTCTAAATGAAATATTCCAGATTTATTAGTATTATCTAGAATTATATAGCTGCTGAAATGTACATAATATTGCTGGGAGAAATGTTTGCCAATAGCTTTATAAAGTTTTTATTAGACTAGCTGCCCAATCCATATCCTCCAGTTCATCTAATTCAGGCAGTTATATTCTTAAGGTGAAGCCACAAATTGTGGTTAGGTTTCTGGTTAAATAAATAGAAAACAATAGCACAAAGTAGATATGACAATCAACATTCTAACCAACTAGTGTTATTCTGAGCTTGGCCAACCCTATAAAGCTATAAAATCTGGTTATTTCAACATCTCTTTTAAGTGTCATCACATTTCATCCTGTAACACTTGAGATGTTAGGAAAATAACTACTCTTCAGGGTTTATAGAATCAGTCCTAGCCATTTTCCAAATACTTTTGAGAAAAAAATTGGCAAGCTTCTTTTTGCTCTTTGCTATTGTTGTTTTGAAGGAGAAGACAAAAGGTAGGAATTCTCATTTATATGAGTTAAAATGTATGTGATAGAGTTGTAAATTAAGGAGGTGTTGCACTTTTCTTGGATAAGAAGTAAACATTGCAAGTTCTGAGTTTTGTATTTTAAGCCAGTAAATTTCAGCCTCAATTTTTTATTTACTCATTCCAAATCAGCTTATCATAGCCTATCCAAAACTGAAATGGAATATAATAGAACCGAAGTAACTTTTTGGATGAGAGGTGAAACATTTTCCAAGGAAAAGGAAAAATAGTCCAATTGCTTTTTGGGAAAAAAGCACCTTTGGGACAACCTTGACCTGGATGATTGAGAATCTTCATAGACATTCAACTCTCCAAAAATTATCTGAATAAATGATCAGTCTCTTCTGAACTTGGTTGAAAGTTTGCATGTACCAGAGATTTTAGTACTGGATCTCAAATATTGTCCTATGGATTTGGAGGGGATTATTCTAAAGTGAAAAGTTTGAAAGTTCTAAACCGACAGCTATAGGTACTGATTTCAGTACATTTCATCAAAATAATAAATTGTAAATTTTTGTTCCATTAATAAAGGAGCTACAATCTTTACTGGAAACTATTGTTTTGGCTGACTCTGCAGGCCACTGTAAATGATTGCCAGATTGTAATTACTTGAGTTAATATTCTTGTTGCCTCACTGCTATTCTCTTGTGACTATGTACCCTTTAATAGTCCTATAAATACTATAAACTAGATTTCTCCAGCTTGTTGCCTTTTGGTCATGATGAATTTAAACTGGACGTTTCTCTCCAATGGAAAATTCAACACATCTGGAAGTACCAAGTTAAATTAAGGGAAGTATCCTCTATTCTTTTACACGTGTCTGTTTTAGAAATAGTGTGAACACTGAAACTGGCAGAGTTCTTAACGTGAGGCACATAAGAAATTAGAAATTACTCTCTTATAAAGATAGTAAATGCAGTTAATTGAAGCTAGGGTATATTGGGGTCTAACGGAGTGAAAATGAATCCCAAACAGGTGAATTTTTTTCCAGAACACTTTAGTTTCTATACCAAACTTCTTTTTGTATAGCAGTATCTATCTATAAAGAGATAGATGTAAATATATACACATATTATACATAATAAAAGATATACAATATTTATATTGAATAATAATAATTACATATAAACATTTTAAAATAAGCTTCCCAGAAGCTTTTAAATATCAAAACTATACAGGACATAAGTTTACTTTTAAAGTCAGAAAGAAGTAGCAGTGGAAATGGTTCTTCAGTGAAGGCAATTATAAATGTGGGCCACTTTGTTACGTAACAAATCCAAATAATGGCAGAATTTTCCAAGCAGCTCTTCTTTAACTGGCATGCAAAGAAAGATGTAAATCCAGTGATTGTCAGGTATGCATGGCATTATGTACTTGTGCAGGTTCTCCATTTTTCAGATTTTTGTTTCTGGTCCCTCAGCGATCAGAGGCTGAAATGAATTTCGGATATTGGCCACTTCAGCTAAACACCGATGTCCAAAGCCTTTATTGTACCAGTCTAATGAATGACCTCTGAAGGAAAACAAAGAGAAAGATTTCTGACAATAGATACACTCATAGATCCTGTGCAGAACTTCCCAAATTTCCAGACATTGGAAATGGGCCGAAGATTCACCATCAGATTTCGTTTTGTGCCTGCAGATTTGCAGTAAGACATGTATCGATTACCCAAACCAGTGCAGGTGTGCATATATTGGAGAGGGGGGAACACTTGTAATTTCTAACTTGCTTGAGGTTACACATTTTTCAAATACACTTTTTCAATTATAAATCTGACATAGCAATTGCTTAAATCTAAGTACTGAGCTCTTCAATCATAATTCTGTTTAAAACTGAATTCATAAAATAATTTGGGAGGAACACCCAAGTACTAGAATCAATCATGAAATGACATAATAACTCTGGAACGCTTGCATGACCCAAGGCTAGTCAGATACATACAACAGTTCTTGTAATGTGCATAGTATTACTGTAGAGTAAATTCTATCGCATTTAATGAATGTATTCTTGAGTAAATAACCATGAGATCAATGTGTATATTTTTATTTCCAGCTAAAGACTGAAAGTTCTTTTAGTCATTGTACTGTCCTATATATATTGCCAAACAATGCTCAGGAATGCAAGTTGTGCAAAAAGATTGCTGACAAAAGATGTTGGCAATGATCTTTGTGAAACTTACTTGAGGTCAACCCTGCAGATGTGTGTCAGTCGAGATTTTCCAGAGCCACAAGGTTCTATCAAATATTGGGAATCCAGGACAACTGCTCGCACATCCCCCATCAAAGGCGTTTCATCGTGTTCTACAGAGATAGCCACTAGCACACACATCCCCTTAGGTAAATCTGTTCTCCAGGCCCTGTTCGGATAGGTTTTTAAGAAGAAAACGATAATTGGAGGGGTAACACTGCAATAAAAATAATAGCGAGTATGTTTTCCAGCCTTTCCCAAACTAGGGCTGTTCAAATGTGCCCACTGCTGCCTAGCCCTGCTCGCCCCTCCTCTCCCAGGAGTCGCCATGCGACCCATTTTGGATGCAGGTAAGTGCAGAGCATGCATGGAGGCTCGGGGAGGGCGAAAAACGGGCTTATCAGAAGTTTGGGTAGGTCGGAAATGGGCGTGTTTCTGGCTTTCAGAGGGCCTTGAGGAAAGCCTCCGGAGCCCGAGGAGGGAAAAAATGCCCCCCGTGGTGCAAGAGGCCAGCTAGGCCACACCCACCATGGCCACGCCCGCCCAGCAACCAGGCAGAGAGCCCCTTGCTAAAATTTTTGAAGCCCATCCCTGGACTCATTTCTCAAGATTTGTAATCAGTCAAGCTCAAAGCTGATGTGGTCCTCTGCCTCTTAAGAGTCTCATCAGGTCTGGAAAGTGGAGGGCACAAAGTTATGGAAAGTTGCTGAATTCTTTCAAGTGTCCTTAAAATATACTGTGACCATATATTATAAAGGACAGTCTTTTATCTTATTTCAATAAGCTCTCCTTTGGATTTATCTATTTTTCAAAAACTCACATTTGTCCTTTATTTTGGCTTTTATTGCACAAATGGTACCGATTCATGTGAAAAGTATGGTAACCAAACTCTCTTTTTAAAATTAATTTACATATACAGTTTGATATTAGATATTTTTATGGGAATATGTATTTTTGTAAAGTTTTTCTTGGTTTTTCTCTTCAAATGTTCCTTTGTAAAGCAAAGATATAAACATAATTTAAAATTGCTACCTTATGAATTGCTTTCAGATTTGTCCCTTTTTCATGTATGTCCTTGATTTTTTCCCCAAGAAAATATTGTTACCATATTTTAATATTATATAAATTCATTTAATATTTATTATGAAAAAATATGTATTGTATTGCATAATGTCCTTTTCAGGTTGTTTCCTCTATTTGTCTCACACTTCTATCACTTCACTAAGAATTATAATAGATACCCTTCTTATTTCTTTAGTGATCCATTATGTGAATTTATTTTTACACAGCCATTTGCTTTCTATCAAAATAAATTATTTTCCAGGAAAGCAACAGCTATTCCCATGGGAGCAGAGCAAATCCAAAAACCTGAGACAGCTACATTGGTGTTATTTATGACAATATAGATTAAACAATATGTCTTGTCAGACGCCTGGTTTGAGTAGCTAATAGTTAGGATTTTATGGGAACCCTCCACAATAGATTATACAATGTCTTAATTTTAAAATAAATTGGAAGAAAAAATAATCAATGAAGACCCAATAGAGATGACCATACATAACAGAGGAAGCTCATATGCAGACATCTGCTGATATCAGCCTTCTCTAACTGGATGCATTCCCGAGATTGCTATTTTTTATACTGAGAATTGTTGGAGTTTGGGTCCATCTGGAGGATAACAGCTTCAGACAGGCTATGTTGGAGTGTAAGTTAGGTATCATATTATAACTAGTTGCTTCCTTCTCTAAATTACCTGAGAACTAAAAAATCTCTAGTCGGATGGGGAGCCATACTATTCAAAACATGCTGATAGATCTCCGTCTGCTTATCCAAGGTTTCTACTATTTTCCATTGTAAGAAATCCTCATCCCAAAGGTGCCTTTCTCTTAGCACACGGTTCAAGACAACTGATGGAGGAGCTTCGACTTCTACAGATGCCTTCCATAGTCTTAATGGATTTCCATCGCCAACCTCAATGAAATGGAAAAGAAAAGACTGCAAGTTAAGAATACAGCTGAGATAACAGGTTAGATGGCACTAAAACACTATTGTGACACAGAAGATCCACTAATTTTTCTCTCCATCTAAAGCTATGACATTTTTCTAGTACCAATTAAGTTCGGAATCCCTGAATTAAGGAGCTAATCGAAATGTGAGAATTTAATTCCATTTAATTTCAGGGAGCAAATCAATTCCATGACAGCTTATGTCAGGCCAAGATATGAAATGGATCTGCAACTGAAAACCAAGATAAGCAGAACAAACCTGGCCATTTAATCAAAGTTATGATGGGCTTAGGGAGGATGCTTTATGCCTGTAAAGCACTTCTGGCTGTCACAAAACATCATATTAGTGGGTCACTTGACTGCATTTTGACTGCAGGCAACCAGCTCGCATTTGCAACCAATGACAGTGTCCTGCAGTCACATGACTGATTTGTGACTTTTTTGCCACTTGCCAACAACAAAAACTCTTTGGAAGAATGAAGTCTTATGACTGTGATTCACTTAATGACTGCTACATAAACAGACACATGGTACCTTAACTTACAACTGCAATGACTTATGACTGAACTTCTAGTCCCAATTGTGCTTGTAATTGAGACTATCTATAGTGAATATAGACACATTCCAAATACACTATATTTGTATATCAGCTAAGTCAGGATCACTTTGCTTATTGTGCCTCAACTCTACATTTTCCAATCCACAATGGCAACTTCAAGGGGCATTTCCAAACAAGGTTTAATATTGTGCCATTTTCCAGCCTTGTTTATGTAATTGTACATAGGAGCTGAAAGACATCATACCTCACTAACAAAGTACATGTGTCTTCCATTAAAAAAAAACATGAAAAGGCTGCATGAAAAGTTTGGATTAATAATACAGAATTCCTATGTCTGAAAGCACCTAAAAGCTTATTTTGGGGGGGGGAGATAAAATGTGGTTTTTTTTAATGGCATATTTTAAAAAACCCATTTCAGTGTACAGTATGTTGGCATGTTAGATAATGTTTTTCAGTAAAGATGGAAACTTGTTTATCAAAGTTACTGTGCAGAAGTAAACAGATTACTTTGGTTTCAGAATTACTTTTTTGTAGCAGAGGTCAGTATTTTCCATGCTGGAACAAGTGACCCATCCTTTGAATTTGTCCTTAGCATCTTTACAAAGATTCTGTATTAGATTTTCTATGTAGGTCTGGTAATTTCCATTTTCTTCATCCATTTGCTTGCCCAGATCCTCCAAAGTTGGAGAACGTACTTCAGCCTCAATGTAAGAGTTCCGAGACTGGCAAAACATCTCATGTGGAATCTACTCCAAAGAAAAAGAGGACGCAGGGAAATATAATGTTACTATTGATTTACTTATTTTGACTTCTATGTTGCACCATTTCCAAAACCTCTCAGCATCTTACAAGTAATAATATGAAAAAAAAAATCAAATACATCCACAAGGTAACTCCAATATGTAACAATCCTTCAGACATGGGCCATGGATATTTACTAAATTCACATTACTAAAAATGCTTAAACAGATGCTTAAACAGAGGGACCATGTAAATGGTATCAAATCTGGGAAACTTAAGTTTTCTCAGCAAGTTTTCAGGAATTATCTGTATATATTTAATTTACATTTTAAAACTTTCCATTCTTCCTATCCAGATTACATGAACTCCAGCCAATTATATTTTTCACAGTTTTTCCCTTCATCCTGAACTCACTTTTTTCATAAGTTTGTTTTGCGATTTTATTCAGTCTCTTTATATGTTCAAACTACCTCGATACATTTCTTCCGTAATGACTATGGGTACTGGAGGAGGGTGTGCAAGAGTCATAGTGTGATGCAGGAAGAGTGCACAAGGGTACAAGGGGGATGTGATAAGACACATTGCAAATTATGAAGAGTGCACAAGGTTGTAGAGATGCATAGTCTGGCTCAAGGAAAGTGCAGCGTGGGTCAGGAGGGTGCATGGGGATGCGAGGGAAGTGTGTGGAAGTGCTCAACATAAAGAAGGTGCACAGTTGGGGAAGACTTACTTCAATAACTTTCTCTGCATGCTTCCCCATTGACTTTTTGGGGAAGCCAGTAGAGAAGGTTGCAAATGGAGATCAAGTGATCTGGAGGCTTTTGGCAACTGATCATAAGTATGAACTGATTGCCAAGCAACCAGATTGAAATCACGTGGATGTGAGGATGCTGGCATAAGAACTGGACATAACCACCATTTGTTCAGCACTGTCATACTTGGGACAATCCCTGACTGAATGGCTGTAGGTCAAGAATGACTGTATGTGCTTTTGACTACATTCATTTAGCACCCATTACTTCTTTTGTTCTACCATAAGTAAGTAAGTACCCCCCCCATCAATCACCTTGATTTCATATTTCTCCTGACAGATCCTACTCTTACTTCCATATAGCAATGGTTCTTATTCGTAGACATTTTTTGTTCTTTCAATGAATAATACTTGATTATAATTGACTGCACACTACCATTTTCTTTGTATTAACAATGTACATATTGAAAGATCCATCTATTCCTCCATGATTAGTTAACATTTTACAAAGTACACAAATTCATCTACTTGCTCTAATTTTCAAGTATTCGCTTGATTTCCCTGTTAACTCTTGCTCTGTAATACATTAATTTTGCATCATATAATCTATTTCACATTTGCAGCAATACATAATCTTTGTCCGTAGACTGGATATCCATGTCTAATTTTCTGCTCAGTGTTGATCAATTTACAAACAAAACAAAAATCATATATTTTCATGCTTGCCGTGTCTTTAACGATTTACGCATAATTACTGCATTCAGCAACCAAACTTCAACTCCACATTTTCACAAAACCTTCCTTAATTCAAGCCAATTCGCTTTATTGTATGTTTTTTCTAAATCAAGTCATGTGCAATACACTTTCCTTACCTATAGAAATTGAGTATGCAAATATATAGTGGGAATACCTGGCATGATACAAATAATTGTCAAAAATGAACTTGGAATAGTAACTGATCACAAGCTGAATATCAACCGGTGCTATAATGCATCTGAAATCAATTTATGCAGATGTGCCACAAAAATATCCAAAGAAATACACCAAAATATTATTCTAGCATGTAAGTGCTTCATGACATTTTTCCTTAGGAATAATGCTACCTAAGACCTTCACTTACCTCAAAAAGTCTATCACATTCAGTGATCATGTGTGCCAGTCCTTGAGTAGCTGCCAGATTTTCACTGAGATCTTTCTGATCTGGCTTCCCCGTTGTGCACTTCTTTTGCATTACTCTGCAAGTAAATCCAATGTTTTAAATAAGATAAAAGCAAAAGCTGTTCTTGAGTTGACAGTAAAAGCTGAAATGCATATACCGTTTTTTTAAATCAAGCTACACACAGTTCAAGACAATATTCTTCTTTTATCACATTATACAAGAGAAGAAACACCCGGTTTATTGTTGGGGAAAAAGATATGCCTTAACTATTTTCAAAGTACAAAGTAATAAAAAAGCACTTAAAATAGACTCCTTTGTGTATTACACAAGGAAGGTCAGCATTATGGCACCCATGGGGAAAACAAAGGGAATTAAGGCGTAGTATGAAGTGTGAATCTGACCTCCATGTTCATTCTACTGGAAAAAAAAATGTTTGGGACCATTTAATGGGGCAAATCAAAGAACGGTTTTGCTTTATCTATGAATGATTGCTATTACTATATTAATTAAGCAACAATAATAGAAAAGCACAGCCTGTTTTGAAAAAGACTGGGTTTTCTCCTGAAGATGAGTACATTTAGCCTTGAACAGGTAAAGAGAGGGGGGGAGGGAGATGAAATGCAGTAAGTAATCCAACAGTATC